AACGGATCTGATACAGACTGATACAGATCTGAAATATCTCACGCCAGGATATATCTCAAACAAGGAGCTCCGCCTATATGGGCAACTCTCCGCCTATCAGGGGAATGAGAGGTTGCCGTGGCATGGTAACAGCATGGTAACATGACCATCGTCAAGCTCATTTGCCACAGAATCAGCCCTTGTGAAGACAGGGCTGGAAAAGAGCAAATAGAGCGAAATGAGGCATGGCTAAAATGCAAGATCTGTTTGGTATTTTGAAAAAAAAACTTCACAGACATGTTTTATTTAGGTATGGCCCTACAATATATGTTTCAAATATAGCATGATAGGTCCACTTTAAGTTTTCGTTTTGTTTGCCCAGTATTAGTCAATTGCAAAAGCGTATTATAGCCATTGAAGGCATTGACTTTAATCTCAGAGAATATAATTTGTTCTCACAAATGAATGACTTGATAATGTCAGAAAATAGCCTTTATTTTTGTAAATGTATAATTTAATTTATATGAATTCCCTTCCTTTATCTTTGCTGACGTATCTCTTCCACCATGTTTTGCTGTCTATGCTGTCAGTGCTTCGTCGGTTTTCTTTAACACTTCTTTTCAAGACATGGAGTTCCTCGAGGTCCTCACTGACGGTCTCAACCGGGTCCTCCTGGTCCGCGGAGGCGGCCGCGAGGTCATCACCATCTACTCTTGAAAAAGCAGCCCCCTCCCCCACTGCCACCCCAACCCACACCTCCCCCAGCCCTGTTCCTGTGTCACCTTTACTCTGTCATCAGCGCAGCTTCTTCATTATGTCGCTCTGATCGTTTATTTCTGTACGATAGTCCTCTCACACCCAAACACCAGCTCAGCTTCAGCCCCCCCCGCTCCACCCCAGCAGACCAATGAGCTACTCAACCTTCATTCTAGTCCAGTAAGCTACTCAAACTACTGTATGCTCTAGACCCATTGAGAGACTATCTAGAATATATATTTTCTTCGCTAGTCTGTAATCGATTGTAGGAACCCTCATTGATTCACTGGCTAAGGAGGAGGTGGTGCTGTTGGTTGTTAGTTGAGGTGTGAGCGCATATGCATGTCTCTGTGTCCGTCTTTGTTTAAAATCCCTGCAGATTCTTTTTTTTTTTCAAATACAAGTGTGGCATAGCAGCGGCTCCTGCTCGTAGAGAGCCGTCTGAATGAGCTCAGTGTAGGATTGTGTGTTTATTTCCTTTGTGGTGATCGGACACCTCCCACAGCGCGACTGCCCGCTGCGATGTGATTTCTCTTTCAGAAAGACACTGCTGCACACGGTCAGACCACCAGCTGGAAGCAGAAGCAAGTCGCAAAGTATGAACTGTGAAATTCCCATTGGTATTTGAAGAAGACTGAAAAGGCACGTGGATCAAACCTGCAGTATTAACCTGAACACTCCGTTAGCATGGCGTCCTTATAACTGTGTGTTTCTACTCCACGTGTTCTGTTACCACCACCTCTCTTTCTACCCATTTCTTAGTGGCTGTTCATCCCCGTGGCCACTGTTAGTGCCAAAAAAAAATACAACAAGGATAGCTTAGTTTGTAGAGATTGACACGTAAATAAAACTGTGAAAAAGTGCGTTTCCTACCAGAAGGCTGGTGTGACAGCGGAGTGTGGAGACCGTACAAACACCCGAGGAGATTATCATTGCCAGCACCCTCGACCCTCGTGTGGATCACTGTAAATAATGTACAAGCTCTGACGCGTTGTTCAGTATGAGTGTAGTATTTTTGTGACATACTAAAAAGCTTCTAGTGGAGAGAAAACGCTCCTTCGCTCAGAAGGACAGCTCGAAAAAAACGCTGAATTTTCATATTTATTTATCTATTTATTTATTTATTGGATGGCATAGGCTCCTGTCACTATGGTAACTGTCATTGTAACCTCGACAAGCACTGCACCTGCACTGTCCGCCACTGTGCAACAAGTGAAAGTTCAATGAATTCATCAAATTCATTGAATTAAAAAATAAATAAAACACTAAATGTTATTTTTTCATCTAGAGAACAAATATGTATTTATGTTTATAGACAAAGTTACACACATTGATCAAATAGTTGTCATTTTGATTGTCACTCAAAGATATATTGTTGTTTTTGCCTCATTTAGATACATTAAATGTGCCATATCAAAGTAT